TAGCAACTGATTTAACAATGCCGAAGGACTATGAACAGCAATAATGTCATTGCACTACAATGGTTATACCAGTGTTAATTATTAATTGCATAAATAATTCTAAGCAAAACAAAATATCGGTGGCCCAACCTTGCGACCCTCACCATAGGAATAGCAATGCTTTGGAAATCAATTCATAGCAACGTCACAAATTTATTATTTTTCGCATGGCAACACATTTCCAGGTACAAACAATAAATCAAGGAAATACTGTGCACATCACATGATATCCATATCAGGGCTACAGTACTGCAGGCAACAATACATATTGGGTAGACAATAAAGTATGGACAAAATCATCAACAGCACACCAGCAACAGCAGCAGCACCACATAGCGTGCTTTGATATTAAATGAAAAAACCATAACCCGCCATAAAAACTGGCGATCGCTACGTTGTGCATATCAAAAAGTCCACCAAAGCTTTTCTGACGGCCGGCATCAAGAAAAGAGTTCACAAACAAACCATCCACTAATCCGCCACCTGACACAGCCCCCGGGTCAATGTTATAAAAAGAACGCCACTGTCTGCAAAAGTACGGCACCCAAAAACTGGAACACTCTTCCAAAGTCATAAAAAAGACGCGACGGCAAATCCGTCTTTTTTCTCCTGCTGGTGTTTTTTCCTTCTTCTACTAACGGATCTCTTACAGACAGCTCGGTTGGCGCCTTGTGTACCGGAGCACAGAACCTTGCACGGGTTTATGGGTTAGCAAGGCATTATGAAATTAGGGAAACATTACAGTAACTTTAGATGCATATTTCTTTAAATATTTCACACATATGTTACGACAAATTTAATTCTTGAAAAAATGGCGTTTTACAGTACGAACCTGTTGAGCCACATTACCATGATCCTCCGTTGGGGCTTTTTCGAGGGAAGGTAGCGGTGATGTCCGGTGTTGTGTGAAGATCTATGCGGAAATTGTTAGAAAACCTGCAATTTGATAGTCCCGCGAGCTGCGCAAATGTGAGGTCACACGTATTTGACAAAAGAGTGTGAATCGGGGGCTCGAAATGAGTGTGATCACTGGTGGTGTGTGCCAGTGGCTGGTATTGGTATTGATGTGGTGGGAATGTGCGTGCGGGGTTTGTTCTTCTGAGACAGAACATGGTTTTGGTATTCTTCAGTCTGCTGACTCCCAATAAAATGCAATATGTTAATGCCTGATGTATTGATGCCTATTTATATTGATGCCTGCCTCTACGTTTGTGTTTGTGTTTGAACATGACAAAGGAATGCTGGCAAACTGAGAGAAACACTAGCACTTATGTCGCAAGGGTGTACAAAGGCAAGTACTGGTACTGGTGCTTCATTATGACCTTGCCAATATTGTGAACCTATTGAGGTATTGCATCATGTAATTAATACATTGCATGCTATTATATCAGCTATACATTTTGGCAATAGGGGCTGGTGTGTGCAGCTCATTACTGGACATGCTCAGTAAAGGCTTCATTATATGGCTTTGCGAAATTGTCTTTCCCTAAATGATTTCGAAAATATAGCTTTATCATTACTGATGCACATTATACCGTCTTTACAAATTCTGTATGCAGGGGAGCATTGCTCCTGCATAGTCAATGTCATAGTCACTGCAACTTGCGTGGGGTGCTGGATGCTGAGAAAGGTGGAAAAGTATTGCTGTCGGTGTCTTGGACAGCACTTAATAATATGTTTATCATGACAATTGTGTGTAATGGCATCTTCATCACTTCCTTGCACTTTGTCCATTCAACCATAACTACATACACTTGTTATGTCTCCAGCCCTGTGCAAGGTCAGCATGTTTGCAGTGTCATTTCATCACATGTAAAATTTTCCAGCTATTTTTTGGTAAAGCAGCCTGATAGCTGCAGCATGATGCATGACCGTGGAAGTAAAAGATGTATTTACATCTTTCTGACCTGCGTCTTCTGGATTCCCGAAGCAGGCTGAGCAAGTGATGCTACTTATTGGTTGTCTGTTTTGTTAAAAGTGGTTGTCTGCTTTGCTGAAAGTGGTATATTGTACCTTGTGTTTTGGTCAGTCATTTGTCAGACGGGAAGTCAATACCAGAGCGCATGCTTGACCCATCTTTTCATGTCAGAATTTATTATAAAAGCGGCATGGATTGCAGTCGAAAAACAATGTTGTGTTCATTATGTCATGCCACAGTACAGCACCGAGATAGTGCCACAATGAAGCTATCGACCAGTGACATTACACAATGTACAACATTGGTTGTGCACTCTATGTCAAGCCTATGAGATAGCAGCTTATGATTTATGAGCAACTGGTAAACATTTATTTAACAATGCAAAAGGACTGTCTACGGTAAGAATGTCGTTGAACCACAATGGTTATGTAAGGGTTAACTATTAATTGCATGAATAATCCTGAGCAAAAAATCGTTTTTGGCAGCCCAACCTTACCTTCTCAACCATAGCGATAGCAATACTTTGGCAATTAATGCATGGCAGCATTGCAAGTTCATTCATTTTCGCATGATATGACATTTCCAGTTACAAACAATAAAGACAATGTTACGAATTTATTAATTTTGGCACGACACCCCATTTCCAATTACAAACAATAAGGACAATGACTGCCCTACACATCACATGATACCAATGTCAGGGCTGCAGCACTGCGCGCAAAGATAGGTCGACAATAAGGTTTTAACAAAAGCATAAACGGCAAAGCAGCAACAGCAGCAGCACAGCATGTCGTGCTTTGATATCAATAATCTGCCTTAAAAGCTGGCGATCGCTACGTCGCGCATGTCAAACAGTCCACGAGAGCGGGCCAGCACAAAATCCACAAAAAAACACCCACTAACCCGAACCCCGACACAGCCACCGCGACGACAATGGCCGGTTGGCGTCAGCCTTCGTGTGTTTCAAGGTATTCTTTAGGTCTGGCTGCCAGATGCTGCCAGATTTTGCTGTCGTCACAAACCCATTTCAAGACGCCATCAAACAGTGAACTAATGGGCCCATTTTTTTTTATAAACTTTGAAATTTTCCTTCGTAGCGTCGTTTTTGAACCTTGAAAGCTTGCCAATAGTTACAAGGAAGCATTTCCCATTATATCTGACGCCTAACTCAACATCTTCAGATGTGGAACATTCCCTTTAGCTAAAAAAGCATTTCATGACTGCGCATTACACGGCAGCCAAAGGGAGTAAGCACAGGAGGTAAACACAAAGGAAGGATACAAATGGCAATCCGCCCCCATTGTGTCCCCCGTCCCAGGCCTTCCCTCGGGCAAAAACCGCAGTGACAGGTGTTGAGTGAACGCCGCAAGAGAGACCACATTCCAGATCCACAAAGACTAAATTACGACGTGGCATGGGGAGAGCCGAGTGACAAATCGCGCTTTCTTCAATAACCCCTCAGAGGGCTCGTCGTCACCGGAAAGGTCGACCCAAGACCGACAGACCCCGGGTGGCAGGACATATCCCAGTTGACATTGGTTGCCGCTTCCATTATGCCACGTTCGGCCTGTACGGACGGGGCTTTACATTTTGCCTTGCCCCGCCGGTCGGATTCGCCGCATTTGTACGCGGTCTGTCTATTTTGCTTGCGGTAGCAGTTCTTCAGGAAATTCAACAAATCGGTATGGAATCCAGCAGATCTGTGACAGGTATGAATAGCAACTTCTAGTCTTAGTCCCCCCCCCCCCCACCCCCAGTTTCGGCACACATCGACAAATAAGTTCAGAAATCGACGCTGCGGTAGCAAGCGGTGATACGCTGTCTATCGTCAAGCAAATTCGATCTTAGGTCTCTAAAAATCTGCCAAATCGTCGCCAATCAATTTCCAGCTGACAGACGTGGACATAAAAAAGTCAACTCGGGAGCAGGCGATGTAATTTTAGGTGCACAACAAACTTTACGGGCCGGTCTGTCCAAGCTGACCTGTCTGGCGCTTCAAAAGCGGCTGCTCACTCACTTTTGCCTTTCTCCTATTTACCTTTCTTGTTCACGGGCACCTGCCGCACCTTAAGTTGTTTGGCCGCCTGCAGAATGCATGCATACTCCGCGACTCTATCTTTGTCCGCACTCATGGCTTCTCCGATCCCTGCCTGAGCACAGACTTGACCGGGTGTGAGCTGCCGTCAAATCAAGGTGTTCACTGGCGATGGAGGGGGCAGGGGAATTCGCGGTTTACTGGAGGACGATATGATGATCAGTAGAAGTAATCACCCCTCCCCAGTTAACTCATCACCCCCTCCCCCCCCCCCCCCGGCTAAGTAAGCCCTGAGGGCTTGGCCATGTTTTTTAGCAATGACGTGATGTGGATGAAACAAAGGATTACCTTTAAAAATTGGAAAGACAATTTTTCGGCCAGCATTTTGTCAGCTTTGGAGGTGCGCTCCACAGCATGATGAATTGAGATATTCTCACCAACAGTGCACAACAATCCAGCATTTTGTCACCCAACGATGTCTTCCTAAAGCCATGTTTTACATCGGGATGCAACAACAATTAACGTTTGACAGCTGTTGGCCAGGATTTCTTGTCACCTCCTCTCGTGTTTTCAGTGCATTTTCTGAGCCGTTTTCTTAACCATAGCATGGAATTATAGAAGTATTGTGCATTCAGACTCTTTACGTGCATGCATTGATTAGAGGTCTCGGATCATTTCAGAGCAGTGAGGTACCCAATTTTTTAAAGAAACTTTGTTTCGTTTCCTCGAAGATGGCAAAGAACAATCAATCTCTCTCGCTCATCTCTCTCTCTCTCTCTCTCTCCTCTTTCTCTATATCTCTCTCTCTCTCTCTTCTCTCTCCTTTCTCTCTCTCTATCTCTCTCTCTCTCTCCCAATTCCCCTCCCTCTCTCTCTTTTTCGAACACATCACAAATGCTTACAAGAACCACTCGACGCTGCTGGTACCTCAGTGGGGCTCCACGCAAAAGAACGCGCACTTCATCTCGTCGCCATCACACACCGATTCTCTACCTCGTAAACGCTTCTCATCAGCATATCAAAGCCCACAGCACGGGCGGCATCGCTTAAACGGCATGACCAGATGACCTCATTGACACAACACTGAACAATACTTGGCGTATCATCGCGAGCGGCGGCTGGCTGCATCCGGCGGCGTCTCCTGCGGCGGCCGGCGCCTGGTGTCCCTCCATCGACCCGTCGTGACCGGTCAGGGAAGACTGCCGTCGGCGTCGCCGGGCCACCAGACACGGGATCGGCAGCCACGCCTGGTCGCTGCGGGCGCGGTGCGAGCAGCGTCACGACACCGGTCGCCGTGTACGGCAGCCGTCGCCCGGTCGGTGGACTGGTTAGTTGGGCTTTCGAGTGCTGGGAGCGCATGGTTATGCATCAGGTGCAGGTGCTGACCGGCGGGAGTGAGTGGCCGGGCCCTCTCTTCACAGTGCGAACAGTGTTAAAAAGTCACGGTCACATAGCGGAACACAAATCATACTGCACTCTACCATATCTCGACATCCCCCCTTCCCCAAGTGTCCAGCGCTTGGTGGCGAGAAGGCAACCGTTTTACGTGCATTGCGGCTCCGCAGGGCGCCAGGGCGGGGATGTTCTTCATCGCTCAGTACAAGTTGCCTGTCACTGCAACAGACTTTTTACGTATCATGGGGCTAGAACACAAATACTTTTAATATATTTTTACTTTGTAAAACTTATATTTCAATACTAACACTTGAGAATACAAATACTTTTCAAGACTTACTTTTGGCAAAAACCTACTGAAAACTACTTTCCCTCTAAACAAGATGAAAAATGACTTGAAGCACATTATTTTCATTACTGCGGCAAATTGAGTTACAGACACTCCACCTGGTAGGCAAATTTCCAATATTCATTCTAACCGAAAGTGTACCTCAGAAAGAGACCACATGTCTGCCGCTGGCACCATACCCCCGCTGGTGATATTAGGATAAGTGATCTTCGTAACATAAATCGATTTCCGCGAACACCTACCATTAACCATTTCATTGCTGTTTTTTGAGGGGTTATCAAGTTGCGATTTATATTTGCATACAAATTAGACCTATCTGTATCTGTATCGGTATGTGTGCGATTTACATTTGTATCGAAATCAGTCGCATCAAAGAGCAGAGCCGGCAAAGAATGCCGTGAAACGACAGAAGAACTGAGAAATGCTTGACCTATTTCTTTCAGTCATGTTAATTTTACCTATCAAGCTATCGACGTGGAACCGCCTGAATATCATTGGAAAGCCTAATATTGATGTTTATGCATTCAAGCTGAGAGCACCTCAGCATAAGGCTCATGCGAAATCATGATTCAGATTTCATAACAGATTTTGCTGCAACTTCCTGTCATGGCAACACACTGTCTGCATGTCCAATGCATGGCTGAACAAGAAGGTTGTTAAGCGCACTTTGCTGCCTTGAAATCATGAGCAGTTGTCTTAAAACGTGTCGCCTTACCTCGTATCACCGCTAAGTACCAAGGTTGCATCACTAAGTGAGTTCGCTTGTCTCTGTCACCTTCTCCCAAGCTCGTTTCCAGGCGCATTACAACTTTTGGAGCCCACAATCAAAAGCACGTGCGGGGGTGAAGGGGGCAGTCCCTTTCTCTTTGGCTTCGGGAGGCTCGAAAGGCCCACGGACTTCAAAAGCTGACCGCCGCATTGAAGCCCCATTGACTCAGGGTTCCTGGGTCAATGAGCAGCCACCTGTGTCCGTTCGGGATCCACCTTTCCTGACAGAGGGCCCTGTCGTGGTAAGGGGTCCTTAGATGGCCAGGAGCAGTGTCCGAAGGGGCCCGAGGACGGGCACGAAAGGTCTCTCGTGTGGGGGGGGGGGGGGGGGCAAAGCCCGAAGGGCTAGCTGTAGGTCACAATAAGGACCCTGGCTCGCAGAGCCGGGATCTCAAATGTCAGATAGAAGGTGTCACACACCGATCGAGGAGCCCTGGGCTGTGCGGGCGTCTATTTCAGCCAGAGATCACCAAAATCAAACAGTCGGCTCCGTGCCGGTCTGAGCCCTCTGGACCCATTTCCCAAGCAGGGACATGACCGGGGACCCCGATCTGCATTGGTTGGACCTCCGAAACAAGGAGGGGCCCTGTGTTGGTCAGGGGACCACAGTGCCTTACGGGGGTCCCTGAAGGCTCGGACCCCTCCGCGTCTGCCTTGGCCAGAGGGCCTTCAAGGAGGGGAGAAATGTGTGAGGCATTCATCTAAAGCCAGGGGAGTTAATCCCATTGTACGAACAGATGTCCTACGGCGTTCCAAGGTACTCCTTTCAGATGCGTCATCATTTTTGTCCGCCCTTGGCAGCCGCTTAGTGCTAGTCGCCAGGCTCAGGCCGCGCGGCCTGCGGAGACTGCAACAGCGGACGTCTGGGTTATTGCTTCAAGACTTGCGAGTGTGTGTGCTCAAAACTTTATAGTATAGTGGCTTTACCTATCCGTTATAAGGAACGCATGAACATGTCTGGACAAACGACACCGGTAAGCCACATCATGCAAATTTTGGTTTCCATTTCGATCTACAATCGATGTTCATTTCACAGGGTTTGCATTTACTCTGCTGGGCCCCGACAAAGTCTGGAAAAACCTGATTGATGTCAGTGTAGAGGGAGGACAATGAATCATTGTAAAATGAATGCACCGGAAATTACCCCATGCAGACATATAATGTCTGGTTAATTCAGTCTTCAAACTTCAAAATGCTTCAAACTTCAAAACTCAAACTTCAAAACTTCAGTCGGACTTCCAAAATGCAAACAGAATCGCATTCTCCGGTTACTTCTGGCTTCTGCGTCAGTTAAAGACGGAACCAAACAAGAATGAGACCAGGAAAATCGATCTCCTCAAATTCAAGTAGGCCGAATCCGGCGATTCCTTGTGGGAGGCTTTTTTACCAACAGGTGGTCTTCGTCAACACTGATCCCGCCCCCCCCCCCCCCACATACACTAAGACCCTGATTGCCCCTCCTGCCGCCACATTCCTTGTTGGACTGAAATGTCTTCCTGTTGCTCGCATCATCGTGGCCACGGGTAAAATATTGATGATAGCGATCATTGACTCATGGGACTCATCAGAGGTCCGATACCTGTGTGTGTGTGTGTGTGTGTGTGTGTGTGGTGTGTGTGTGTGTGTGTGTGTGTGTGTGGTGTGTGTGTGTGGTGTGTGTGTGTGTGTGTGTGTGTGTGTGTGTGACATTCGGTCACCCGCTTCCCTCCCCCATCTGTCATCCAAGACAGTGTAATCTTCAAGCACAGTCGCTATCTTACTCCGTTTAAATGGTATCCGCAGGACATGGTTCCCGTAGACGGCATGAACGTGATATGGCCCGGTCCGACTTAACTTCAAAATTCAACCGTATGGATCGCTTTAAAATTAATCGTATAACTTGTACATTACCGACAGTGCTACCACTATGATCTCCAACTGTTGCTTTAGCACGCTAGTTTGTGGATTGGGCAATGCTTGATAACCTAGAGGCGAGGAGGGAGGAGAAGCGATCGAAGCGAGGGGATTAAGTTATTTTAAAGTTACCATCAAATTCAAGGACACTCCGGCTCGATATTAAAAAGTCCGTGTCCATCTAAGACTTTGCACATAGCAACATCCACATTAGCTTTATGATATAAATTCCATTCCATGACCGCTTGACGTTGTCGTAGACATAAAGGCCGATTTGTATACGATCTTTAGATGTGCGTTTCGAGCCCTGCCACCGAAATGGGTAGTTTCCATCCCAAAGGCACGGCGTGCTTGTCCAGGCAGCTCGTTCCACGTGCCCCACACCCCTGCCCTGCGGAGCACCCACCGTCCGAAGTCAGCCGCCTCGGCGACCGTGGTGGGCAGGTCGCGTCCACTCGTCTCCGGCAGGAAGGCCGTCATGCCGCCCGCCAGCAGACCGCACACCCCGAAAATGCAGAGCGGCAGCGTGGCCGTGTCGTCGCCCTGGCCACCCAGGTCAGGTCAGGCCAGCTCAGGCTACACAGCTGTGCCCTCGCCATTCGGCGGGCGCGGGCAAGTGGGTCCTGCCGGCCGCCTCACGGGCTTGAGGCATGTCTCCTTCTGGCCGCCGCCGAGCGAACGGCGGGCGGGGTAACGACAGCTCTACCCGGCTGCCCGTGTCGTGTTGTGACGGGTGCTGGCAGAGTGTGGCCGCAACGCGCGCCGAAAGAACCGATAACTACGAGTCCACAGCAGTTTGCCTGGCATGGCGACGGGCTACACGCCAGCTTCCACCGCGAGAGAAGTCGCGGGGATAACTTGATACAGTATGCCAGTGACAACCATTCCAAAGATGACGACGACATAAAAGGAAAACCACCTCCAGTCGCCTCGCAAAGTCGACAACGTTGTACAGCCAGACAGTGTGCTACATGTTCGCAACATCAGCGTTATTATGAGCGAACTTCGTCACCTTGGCTGCTGAACGCGCAGCTTCTGTAGTTACCAGATCGGCGATGACCGGTGCGAGCACGGAGCCGATTCTTGAGCAGGCTGAGGCCATGCCCACGCCCATCACACGCATTCCGCTTGGGCACAGCTCCGCCGTGTACAGGAACAGGAGCGAGAACGCTGACGCCGCGCCGAACTTGCCCAGCAGCGCCAAGGTCGTCGTCAGCCACTCCAGTTCTGAATTGGACCCGAGATGAGATATGTAACCCGCTCTAGAGCTGACAGACAGCACCCGCTCGTCTCAATTGCAAGCCACCAACGCGTGGCGTCCAATGTAAACCGATATTTAGACGACTAACAACTGATCAACTGCAGGTCTGTTGTGTCGGGGTAGGCACGCATGGTGTGCTTGAACTGGCCGAGAAGACAGCCGCGCGCGTGTGATTTGTTTGATTCTCGGTCTGTCCCGTATTTGACTCGTTTGGATTTACCGTCTCCATTTGACGATGTGGCCTTGAAACATGCATTGCAACATTTGACCGTACAGCAGCATTGCGGGGACTCGTTCACTCAATCAAAGAGGTGGCGGATGGCAGATGCGACTGGGATGGCACCTTTCTCCCAAATGGTAAAAACTCAGTCTTAAGTCTCGCTCATTCCCCCCCCCCCCCACCGCTGAGATGAGTCACCGTTGGGGGGAAAATATTCTAATGCATCAGTCAGCATTATGGCGTTATTTCAGCAGCATATTCAAGAAGAAGGAATCATCGCCAGAAAGAAAACAGTTTGTTACTAGAACCATCGCTACGGAAGCAACCCTGGCTCAAAGATCGCCGTTGGGAGGAATGACCTGCACACAGCTTGGGAGAAACATGCCCAACACATAATTCCTCCTGTCGGCACATGCCGCACCTTGTCCGGGGAGCACGCTGCGCATGACTCAGTGTTGACAACGAGCCGGCGCATGACTCACCGTTGGCCGGCACGAGTCCTGCGCAGATGGCGCCCAGTCCGCTTAGCAGGAAGGCACCACCTATCACCAGCTTTCGACCGAGTCTGAAATGGTCCAGCCAAGCCGTATAAACACGTGTGTACCGCGGTTGTCGCATCCCTCCTCTCTGTATACTGTTTACCCAGCGGACGTGACCGGTATGGAGCCTTCCCTAAGGGACGGAAAATTAACGGATCGGCGCACTTCCCAGCTTGTGAAAACAGCTCACAAATAGGCACATAGAACCATGCACGCGTGGTCGACACTTCTTTGCTTCTGATGGAGGCATGCTTCTGTCGTAACGTTTTTCAACTTCATCTCTGATGTGAAGCTTACGACGTTGCACAGGAAGAGTTGCCCTAAAACTGCGACAAGGCACTTACGGATTAAGGGTGGTGAGTGCGCAGAACACGTACGACGGTATTTCAATCAGCATCGTGAGGATGAAGTTGGTGTAAACGTCCCCTCCCAGGTCAGTGGACACCATGCTGATGCCGTAGTAGACCATCGCCACCACCAGCCTGGCAACAGCTTCGAGGCGTCAGGTGAGAACGGCCTTGGACCGGGGTCCGCACGTGACGTCGAGAGCAGCGTGTCCGCAGGCGCAGTTATGCAGCCCATCGTCGACGCAATCACACAGACGCGTAACTCCGTGACGTGGTGCTGATGGCGTCCAGGACCAGGTGGTAACACTATGCATTCACTCAGGAATTGGGTTTCCATTATGACGTCACACAGAACAGCCCGAGCAGTCACCGCGAGTGCGGTGATCTGAACAAGCGAAAAGCGGGGTTCTCTCAGTGTGTCGGTGCTTACCACTGAAAAGCCAGGATGAACGCCCGCTTCAGGAGGACAGGTGACTTAATCACGCTAATGAAGCTTTCATTGATGGCTTGGGGCTCTTGGAGTGATCCACTGCTCCTCT